TCGTGGCAACGTGGACTGCGAGGCAGCGCCCCACGACTGCATCAGGTGAGCGGCGGCCAGGCGGGCCGACCCCGACCCGGCACGGCCCGGCCCGGTTGTGCGGAGCGCCCCCTCCGCGCGCTCGGATGTGCCCTGGCCAAGGGCGGGATGGGGCAGCACGTGGGAAAAGCTCCTGAGGAGGGTGCATGGGCTGAGCAGGGTGGTGGGATGTCAGCACCCTTGGGCAAGGCCTGCAGCGGTGGGAAAACGGTGCCTGGTGAGGACATGGGGCAAACCAGTATGTGGGAGACCAGCGTCAGGCTGAAAGACGTGGGCAGGCTGTGCAATGTGTCAGGAAGATATTCCTGCTTGGTGAGGTCTGCTAGCGCCGCTGGAGACCTTCCTGTGTCATCCAGGCCCATGTTGCGGTGGCAGGGGAAGGTGGACCCTCTATTTCCAGTTCAAAAATCCTGCTGGCTGCAGCAGAGTTAGCAAGAAGTGTTACAGCCTGAGTCGCCGCATCAGTCTGTCTCTCCCACCACAGTGAGAAGCTCTTCATGGAAATGGCAGACCGCTTGGCGGAGGACGGCTGGAGAGAGCTGGGCTACACGTACGTCAACATTGATGACTGCTGGTCAGCGAAGCAGCGGGACGCAAGCGGGCAGCTGGTTCCCGATCCCAAGAGGTTCCCCCGAGGGATTAAAGCCTTGGCTGACTATGTAAGTACATGTGGGAGAGGTTGGATCCTGAGGGAGGATGAAAATGATGGGGGCATCCCCATATCCCTGTATCAACTTGACTGGAGCTGTTGTGGCAGGGGGGCTGGGACAAGATAGAGAAGCTCATTTCCCTGCGAGATGCTCTGGACTCTTGTATCTCCTCTCTCCTGACAGGTCCATTCCCGGGGTCTGAAGCTGGGCATTTATGCAGACCTGGGCACCTTCACCTGCGGGGGCTACCCAGGGACCACACTGGACCATGTGGAGCAGGATGCCCAGACCTTTGCACAGTGGGGTGTGGACATGCTGAAGCTGGATGGGTGCTACTCATCGGCGCAAGTGCAGGCAAAGGGTAAAGGCTGAAGCTCGCTCGCTGTCTGTTTTTTCTCTTGTAGCTACTTCAGTTGGGAGTGTCTGTCTGACTTCTGACCTCGGAACTGCTTGGCTGGCTTTGTTTCTTTCCTCGCATGTCGATCTTTGCAACCCTGATGAGTTGTTTGGTTTCCAAACAAGCTGCATCTCAGAGGGGCTGCAGGGCTTATCTGCATGTGAAATAGGGCCCAGAGTGGAGGAGGAGGGAACCATCCTCATCGATCCCTTTCCTGCAGAAGTCATGTATGCAGGCACATGGTGAGCTTGGAGGTTTGAGGCTGGGTTGGTTTTTGTGTCCCAGAGTCAGAGCGGTAAGTATTTGATCCTGGGAGAAGGCAGCTTTTGTCTGTCTCCCAGCTTTACATCTTTTTCCTGGCTGAGCCCACGCATGGCTTTCTGAGGGCTTCCATTCCAGCAGGGTTGCCATGGCCTTCCCAGGACTGAGTGCACCCTAGCTGTAGGGCAAAAGGGTAACCTGGACAGCTCTTGGACAAAGAGCTGGTATAATGCAAGTTAACCACTCAGCTTCTTCTCTCCCTAAGGCTACCCGAAGATGTCGAAGGCCTTGAATGCGACAGGCCGTCCCATAGTCTACTCCTGCAGCTGGCCAGCATATCAGGGTGGGCTCCCTCCCAAGGTGAGGGTTATCTCAACATATGCGGGGTCTGGTGGGTTTTCTGTGTGCCCTGGGGAGCTCTCACTGCGAGCTGCAGAAGCCCATGTACCACACTCCTTTCTTACTTATAGGATGGCCCTGTAGATCCCAGGAGGGGAAATAAACCCCTTGCCAGGAGGTGGCCATTTCATTGGCTTCCCATGGAAAACTGGGGTTCCCGACATGACTAGGCCATATAAGCTTGGAGCAAGACCCCAAGGCCTTGCCCACCCCTCTCAGCTCCTGAGGGCTTGATCCTGGCAGGCTGTTCTCCTCAGTGTTGCCTTGTCTGATTCAGTGCTTGAAATGGAGCTTCTACTCTTCCCCAGCATGTTACTCGTAGTAACACTTCTTGTTACCTGAGCACAGATTTACCCACCTCCCACCTTCTGAATCAATCCTAATCTACCCCTATTCCCTTGCAATGGTTTTATTCCCCCAGAGCCTCCATGGTTGTTTTGACAGACGTCGTAACATACTGGGTATGGTCCTGTCCATCATGTTGTCCTTCCCTAGATCTCTCTGGCTTGCAAATACTCTTTGGACACTGCAGCTCCCAGCAAATCTAGGTGCCCTTTCCTGCTGTTGGGGCTGAGGGAGGGAGATAGCATCTGTGTCCCCCCAGCCTGCAGACTCCCTCCTGCCTGACTCATTTACTCCTCACCAGGTGAACTACACGATCCTGGCAGAGATCTGCAATCTCTGGAGGAACTATGGCGACATTGAGGACTCGTGGGACAGTGTGCTTTCCATCGTGGACTGGTTCTCTGCGCACCAGGACGTGCTGCAGCTGGCGGCTGGCCCTGGCCACTGGAATGACCCCGACATGGTGCGGCTGGGTGGTGGGTGCATGGACCCAAGGCAGGGGTGGGGGATTTCAGGGATTCCACTTGTAGAGACAAGGCAAAGGAAGGATCTGTCTGGCTTTCAGGCGGGAGAGGAAAAGCCTGTGTTGCCCTGCAAAGCAGAGGGAAAAACCTGTATTGCAGTGAACCCTCGGCCCCTTGTGTGTGCCTGTCCTTTTGCCCAAGTGTCTTTCTTTGTCCTTCCCTATGCCCCCTGCACAGCAAGGGGGAGAAACTGGGGTGAAGCTAAGGGTGCTTTTGAATATGTGCTGGTCGCTGAGCACCTGGCAGAAGTGGGACCTTCTAGCAGTGACAGGCTGCTCGAAGGGAAGTGAAAGCATGTGAGGTTTTTGGTGCTTACTCCCCACCTAGCAGGGTGCAGCGTCACCGACTCAGACGTGCAGAGAAGTTTCCAACCATTTGCTGCTTCTGCTTTGTTTTGTCTCCTCTCCCCTCCAGCTCATCATTGGAAACTTTGGCCTTAGCTACGAGCAGGCACGCTCCCAAATGGCCTTGTGGACAGTGATGGCAGCTCCGCTCCTCATGTCTACTGACCTCCGCACCATTTCCCCAAGCGCTAAGGAGATCCTGCAGAACCGGCTGATGATCCAGATCAACCAGGACCCCCTGGGAATCCAGGGACGTAGAATTGTCAAGGTTAGGGGGAAGGTGCATTTGAGGGAGAGTAGAGGAAACAGGGATTGATGTATTGAAGGAGAGAGAGGGTATGCAGAGAGAGCTGTGGGAGTGGTGACCTGCTGACTTAGCAATCCATCCAGGCAAGGATGGAAATTACCAGCATTTCTGTGAACACCTCCTGCAACTCAAGACCCCTGCATGGGTCTTTCCTTGAACACCCTGCAGGCCTAAATGTTCTCATGCCCTCAAGAGCAGACACGGGTAAGAGGGATTCCGGCAGGAAACCTCTGCTGGCACTGCCTCCCTGCACCCTGCGTGCCTCGGGCAGGCAGGTGCTCCTGCTGCTCCTGGTTTCCTCAGGGTCCAAGCGAGGAGGTGCCCTAAGAGCCTGCCGCACTTCGAGCACTACTCGGGGCTTTTTCCCTGCTGTGTCCCCACAAGAGGGAGCTGGTCCTGGCAGCTCTGTCTCACCAGCCTATTCCCATGCCAGGAGAAATTCCACATCGAGGTGTTCCTGCGCCCGCTGTCCCAGGCCGCTAGCGCCCTTGTCTTCTTCAGCCGGAGGACGGACATGCCCTTCCGTTACACCACGAGCCTGGCCAAGCTCCACTTCCCGGGCGATGCTGTGTATGAGGTGAGCGCTGCCGGCCAGCTGCCCCCACCGTGTCTGAGCTCCCTCCTGTTGTCCCCACATGCGCTGGGGACAGGAAAGGGGATTTTTCCCTTCCCGTTTGCTGTGTCTATGTGGAAGGGGAAACCTGCTCCCCTACCCTGAGCTGTGCGTCACACGCTGCCCTGTTGGTGGCAAACACCCACTTGCTGTGCTTTGGCAGGGGAACATGTCCTGCTTGCCCTGTCATCTCTCTCTTAAGAAAGACTTGACAAAGTCTGGGGACTGCACTGCTGCCTGGGACACAGAAGGAACAGCTGATTTTTCCCCTCTTTTTCTCCCAGCTCTCATCCTGTCCCTGCAAACCTTGTTTATCAACTGCTGAGCAGGGAGCTTCAGGGGTGGATCAGGTTTTGAGGCTGAGCCTGTGGTTAAAGCCCTATTCCTAGGTATGGCCTGGCCAGCTCGGGCCAGCAGCAGGCGTGTTGACCCTGGCTGGATGATTTGGGGACATCCAAGCAGAGACTGCCCCTCTCTTGCAGGTCCAAGACGTGTACAGCGGTAAGATCATCAGCAGCTTAAAGACAGGAGACAACTTCACAGTGGTGGTGAACCCCTCGGGAGTGGTGATGTGGTACCTCTCACCGCTGGCGCAGCCCTGGCACTTGCTCAGGCAGCAGGGCCCCGGGGCAGGCGTCCGCCCCATCCTTCTGTGACAGGGTCCCGCACCGGGGGCTTCCATGAGGCCCTGGAGCGCCTTGCTCTGTGTGGCACAAGTGCCTTTCGTGGATATTATTGACAGTGCAGGGGGATGAAGTTTACGCTATTCCTCTGGTACAAACTTGATGATTTCTGCTTGATCTGTGAAAAGCAGGACTTCTTGCTACCTGCTTCCTAAGGGTGGTGCACAGCTTGATTCCTCGATCATTGCAAAGCGCTCCTGTGGAAAGTTGCCTTAGAAGATGGTCCAGTCCCACTTTGAACTTATCAGCTCTGATATCTGAGCACCTCATCATGTCAAAGCAGGTACCACTGCGGGAACTCTTTTAACAAGGCTGTAGCATCATGTTCGGTAACAACTCTCCATGCGTGTGATGAAGTAACTTGCAAGTATTGGACACTCAAAGAAGACCTCTTCTCCTTTGCTATAATCAACTTGGCTCAGAAGAAGGGGGTGGGAGTAGGGCTTCACCCTGCCACGTGTCCTCCACGAGACCAAGCGCTCCCAGAGAGCGCATGGTCATGGTGCAGCAGCAGGGAGGCTCCCGGAGGCGCCAGCTTTGCCAGCAGCCTGCAGGCCAGCACTGCTGCTCCCTGACATGCATGCGTGCCCCAAAAATAAAGGCTAGTCCCACTCCTCCGTCAGGAGCTTCCTACCACCAAGCTTCGCAGCCACGCTAGAGTACAAGTGCCTCCAAGCTGCAAGGCACATTGCGGTCTTGCTTTTTTTCAGGAGGATGAACACTCCAGGGTTTCTCAGGGAACAGTTCCTCCTTCTCCAAAGGGCAGCTATATGGACAGATCCAGCAGCAGGAGGAGTTAGCACTAACAACCTGGAGGTGTTCGGAGCGAGTTGTGGCAAGAGCTCTGAAACCTTTCTCTGATTCATTTTGGTACCTCAGCTGTGCCTGACTGTACATATGATCCTGAGTATCTGCATCTGCTACCACAGATGCTAGTCAGGATGGGATTGACCACAAGGAGGAAAACTGCCATCCTTCCCAGGCACCAGCTTGTGCTGTTCCCCACAGGGAGAAAAGCAGCAACAAACAACCAAGTAGAAGAGCGTTGCGGGGAAGGAATGTCTCAAAACATTATGGAGACACCACCCCTCAATCCCATGGCTGTTTCTTATCAGGGAGACACAAGAACATGGCAGATCTTCCCTGATCTCATGTACTTCAACATAGAATCATAGAATGTTTAAGGTTGGAAGGGACCTCTAGAGGTCATCTAGTCCAACCCCCCTGCACACGCAGGGTCACCTAGAGCACGTGGCACAGGACTGCATCCAAGCGGGTTTTGAAGGTCTCCAGAGAAGGAGACTCCACACATGTTGTCAGTGTCCACAGAAGGGCTGGCTAACGCGCTGGGTTGTGGCATCACTCACTGCTTCTCCCAGCCCTGTGCCAGAGCAATTTTAGGAGACCTGCTCGAGGCAAGCACAGACAGAACAGCTAAGCAGTTTCAGGTCACTCGCCTACCTGGAGTGACTCAGGAGAGGGTGCAATGTTTGTTGAAGTTCTCCCTGAAAGTATAAGGCAACTGAGGAAGACTGGTAACGCTGAAAGGCTCAGCCTGGGGAAATGCCCCATTTTAACTTAGCTGGAGGGAAGAAGGACCGAAAAAAAAAAAAAAAAGCTTCCACTTTTGAGTCACTCCAGATGACAGGAAGATGGGGAACCTACTCCAGTTCCTGGAGGACCAGGGGCCAAGTCTAGCCCCTCGCAGCTGCTTTCTCCAAGAATAAGCAGCAAGTTCCAAATATGACGCTTTGCAATGCCAATAACTGAAAAAAAAAAAACCCACCAACTTCATGCCCAGGTACAGGAGCTGGCTTCGTTCTTGCTAAGTGATGAAGACAATTTCAATAAAAGGGAAGCAGGTCCCAGACTGTCTCTGGCATTTATTCAGCACCACTAGCTGTTTGGTTAGGGGCAGATTTCAGGGTCAGCACTTCCAGGGAGGAAGGACTATGCCGGGAGATAGAGTTGGTCTCTTGGCAGCAACTGATGCTGAGCAGCTTTCCAGGACCTACGTTGTGCTCCACAGGACATCAGCCTTCACTGGCACAAGGGGAAACACAAGGCTGTACAGTCTGCAATTAAGAGTGATGCTCTTTAATGTGTATTTATTTATCCAATATTGAGGAGGAGGAGAGGGGAAGCTGGATTAACCATCTAGTTGGGAGCTCCTCTTGAAGATAGCTAATACTGCCTGAGGGAAGCCTGCTAAAAACAAAGCTTTAGTGAGGGGCAAGGTGGTGACACCATCTCCGTTAAACAGTGTCACCTGCCCAGGGGACATGGACATTGGTGACAGCAGCAAAGGCACAAACCGCCCTCCACCAGCAGTCAAATGGTTAGTCAAACTTGGTGCTCCTGCCTGTCTTTTCCCCCAGTCCTGATCCCAGACCCAGCTTCCCCGTGCACAGGGAGAGTGCAGGGTTGACCCAAAGCCAACCAGAAAGACCAGCCACGTTTATCCCTCGTCGCTGCCTTCTGTGCAATAGGCAGGAATGATAGAGATCAACACAACACATACAACAGCAAAGAGACAGCTAGAGTTACCAACACTTTTGTATTAAAGTGCAATGCAAAAGTTACAAACATTCATGGCTTAATATTTTAGTTTTAGAGAATCATCAGAGCATCTCTAACTCTGATTTAAAACTTTTTTTTTTTCTTTTTTTAGAAAAGGAAGTTCACTTCCCTCTATGCTAGGCTACTTCAAGAATTCATTCTTATATTTGTGCAAACCTCACTTAAAGGAGAGCCCTGGCATGCAGGGAAGTAAGATGAAAATGCTCCTTCCTCTTCACCAAGAAAGCAGGAAGACTACAGGGAAGAAGTAGGATGATCCCATACATGTAAAGGATCACAGTGATCTCCATCACACTAATGACACTCTCTTCAGAGCAGTTTAATGGCAGTTATCTCCTACAGAAGGAGGAAAGTTTGTGGCTGAGCAGCAGCAGAGCTGAGCACTAGTAATACCCCCACCAGGGAGAGCTTGGAGGGTGCTGCGCCCCTAGGCAACCCGAGCCCAGCACTCGGGGCCTGCTCTCCCCACACATGGGCACACACAGCATGGCTGCAGCAGCCCAAGGAAGGGAGACGCAGCCCAGGCTTCCCTTGCCATGATCACACCCTGCACGAGCTCCTAGAAGACCCAGAGGGAGACTGACACGCACACCTGGCAAGCTGTCAGCACGCAGCCCGGCAGCCCCACCGCCCACACGCTCTTCTATTCTACAGCTAAAGGCGGGCTGAGTTTGGGAAGTCACCGCTCATGCAGCTCCTCTGCCATGAGCAGGAGGCAAGCGTACAGCCTGGCTTTGCAGCATGTAAGAGACCTGCAGCAAACCCCTGCTGGGTGGGGGAAAGATTCACTGGAAATACAGAGGTGCATCTCACAGCGAAGGGGAAGGAGCAGAGAGAAGAGGCAGCGCTGGCTCTACAGACACCAGCGAGTGCAACATCTCACTCCATTTTGGAAGGCTAACTAGGAAAGGAGATGGAGAAATGTTAGCAGAGGGTTTTGCTGCATTGAAAGCAGACGTGTCTCTGCCCAGAAGCTCCTCTTGCTGCCAAAATGCAGTAGGATGATATATCCAAGCGCTTCGTAGTTCTTTTGGCTGAGCTGTTGGATTTGGCCTCTGCATGTTGGGGCCCATCCCTCTCCCACTTACACTAGCAAATGATTAAGCGTCTCTCGGGATGCGTTTCTCAAGTTTATGACCCCATGACTATTAGTCCAGGACCTGAACACATGCTTCCAGGATGACACAGGATTTCCAGAGTCCCATCTCACACTGAACTGTGCCAGAATTTAAGAAATTTAACATCCTTCTGGGACTCCTGAGGGCCTATGTGAGGAACTTCATGGCTGTCTACACCTTGCCTCTTGGCTGGTGCTTGAAGAAGTCAAAAGGCTTCCACTCCAAACAGTTCCAGTCCAAGAGCCTTCATATTTTACTCCTAGAATAATGACGTGGTTTGCTGATTTATGAAGAAATCCTTCTCTTTGCTCAGGCCAAGGGCAGACCAAAAACTTAGTACTTTGACCTCATGAGATGAAGCAGAGAAGCAGGAAAGTGCTGCCACTCTGCCTTGTATTGCCAGACTGAATGTTTAAGGAGGGCAGGCGCCCAGCAGCCCAAACTACATACATTGTATATACATAAAGAGACCTAGAGATATGCTAACCCAAGGGGTAGTGACAGCCAAATTGTCTTCAGGGAAACAGCGTAGGAGGCTGGTTCTGTTAGTTGTTCTTTTTATCCTCAGGAGGTGTGTAAGGAGGTGGCTGATCCTGGAAGAAAAACAAGAGAGTCATCTGCTGTGCTTGCTTCATGTGGATCTCTTCACAAGCATTCCCAAGCCTGGCTTATGGGAAATCACTGCTTCCCAGCAAGTTACACCCAGAACTGAATGTTGTATTTTAGGCTGTCATTTCACCCCACAATTTCTCTCTAGTTATGGCACCACCATCCCCACCTCCCCCAGGGAAATGCATGCTTTCTGCACCCAGACCAGCTGAGCAGTGATTACTGTGAGGCAGCAAGCAGGCCATCAGATTTCACTCTCTGTGGGGCACATGCCACGATCTGCCTCTCATAGCCAAAAGGGCGACTGTCCAAAATTCAGTTTGGCAGCACTGTGTTCCTCACGACTCCCTCACAGCTTCCCCTCCAGAGCGCAGAGCCCCTCCACGGGGGCAGTGCTTACCGCAGGCATGTACACGTTGTGCGGGTTGGCAGGGTTGTAATACGCACTGGAAGTCGCTTCCGTGGCCTTACTGCCACCTAGAGAGGAAAGAGAGGGAGCAAACACAGGAGCTATTTGTCGTAGGTGGCTTTTGCTTGTGGCCCCAGAACCTTCTCCCCAGCTACTGCTCTTTTGGGGAGCAGGGGAGAAATACCCAAAGAGCAGTAGAAAGCACAAGAAGCTGAGTCTGAATCTGGAGCAGTTCAGAAAAGGTGGGAGGCGGCCAGAGCTGACCACGACCAGTGTAAAGCTGAGCAGCTTCTCCAGCCCTCTGTCACCTCAAATCATAGACCGAGAAGACCTAGAGCTCCTACAACAAGTTCCCCCTCCACCAGCACCACCTAGAGCTCAAACCCTCAGGGCTCAATTGCCCTTCTGTGCCTGGGCCATGTCAGCCCCATGTCCCACTCACCTGGCATCCCTGGGGCCACCCAGGCTGTGGGAGCCGAGGGGGCTGAAGGTCCTGCAGGAGATGGCCCGGCGTACGGGGGAGGAGGTGGCACATTCATAGGGTTTGTGTTTGGGAGTGGTGGGTAGATACCTGTGAAAGACGACACCAGGTTGATGTTTTAGGTTGTTAGGGGGCATGATGTGGAAGCAGAAAGCACAGGTTTTATGTTTGCCTAATGCCTGTCATCGTCAACGGCTCCTGCCAAGCAGGAGCACCATTTCGATGCTGCAGTTTTACCTCTTGTCCAGTTACAACTCTGGAGACACACAGGTATGATCATCAAAACACAGCAAGATTTGAACAGACAAGGACCCGTTCCTTGTCCAGAAAGGAGGCCAAACTTCAGCACCCCTCAGCGTGCTGTCATGATTTCTTCACAGCCAACACCACGCGCACACTGTGACTCATCACCGCGCAGCTTCCCTTACCTGGAGGCTGAGCATAGGGATATCCCATGGGCTGTGGAGCTGGTCCGTAGGCATACATGGGTGGTGGCATGTAGGGATATGGCCCGTTTGCTGGAGCAGGAGCGTAGCCCCCCGGCACGGGCGAGTAACCGCCCGGCGCAGGCGGGACGGGCATGTAGCCATAGGCAGGGCTCTGCAGAGGGGCTCCGCTGGAAGCTGGGGGCACACGGAAGCTTGTGTTAACTGCACGTTTGTACAGAGTAAAAGGCAGAGTCCTCTTCATGCAGCCCTGTTTCTCCTGATCCTAGTTCTGGAGATATCCATTATACAGCTCCACCATAACACTGGGCATGAAGAGCACTTGGAAATAATCTCCCTGCAAGTTCATAGGGTGCTAAAAGAAGTCAGACGCACTAATACTAGCTATAGGGTAACAGATCAACAGCAGGGCTTCTGAGATTGGAAAAAGGGACCATTTCATAAAAGCTTTATCAGTATTTTTTAAAACTTTCTTCTCAACAAAGGCTGATTTTTTTTTCCATTTCAAAGTTTTAAACATGAAGCTTGGATTTTCTTTTTAAGTTTTAAATATAAAACTTTTAAATATAAAACTTTGAAATTGTTTTTCCCCTCTCCAAATCTGGATGTGTTATCTTTCCATTATGACAGAACTGGGCTGAGGGTAGCTCAGGATATACTTTTCACTACCACCTATTTCAACTCATTTTTTTTTTCTCCAGGAAGAATAAATTTCCATGGAAAAATCAAAGCCCACCTTAAAAACACAAACTCCAGAATATTCTGGCTACACCAAGCACTAAGGTGAAAGGAAGAGGACTGGACAGCACAGAGGATGCCCCCTCCCCTAGCCCCTAGTTCAGCCGACCAGAGTAGAACTGCAGACTCCGAAGACCCCTTACCACTGGAAGCAGCTCTGAACATCAATTGTCCAAACTCGATGGCTCCTCCACTGTTGAAAGTCAGTTTAAATGTTCCCTGCCCTTCCCAGCCACCTAGGAGAGAAAATTTGATCTGAAATTAGCCTCCTTAGTACTGGCTATAGCAGAAAAACAGCTAATATTCAAATTTATTGAAATTCTAATAAAGAATACCTTAAATTTTGTATTGTATTGCCAGGAGGGCAGAATCATGGCTTTGTCTCAGAGGTCCTCGAAATAATGCTTTCTAAATAATGTCTCAAGAGGACCAGGAATTTATTTATTTATTTAAAGACTTTTTAGAAAGATTTCTAAAACTATTTTATATCCTGGGTTGGTCTGTCCTTTACCAAAAGGTTGATCAGATCCTATGATTACAGTGCAAAGAAAACAAAACAAAGCATTTAATTCACTGAGGACTTTATCAAAGCACCTGAATGAAATTTTATTATTGATCTCAGGGTCTGAAATTCAAACTAGGATTTGAATTAAGTACGTTTTAAATCTTTTTGCCCCACAGGAGCTCAGACAGATTATAAACATCTAGGTATAATAAAGAACTTTCGGAGAATCTCTAATTAGTCAACAAGATCACAAGATAAACACAAGAGTACTTTATATTTTTTAAAACATCATTTAAATAAAATATTTCATAAAATAAACTTAATATTCATTTTTCTTGCCTAATCAGTAATGAAGTTATGTTGAGAAAGTAAATGCAGACAGAGTCTCTTGAGAACAGAAAACAAATGCATAGCAGAAATAAAACATGCAATCCTCCACAGAAAAAGTCATCCCCTTGGAGTTTCCTTAAAACCACTGTCTCAAATGATTTCAGTATCAGGAAATGGCTGATCAACAAACCAGAATCTAGTCACACTAAAGCACTGTTAGGAACATGAAGCAAGAGCAGAAAGCTCTCCAAATGCATCCAAGTGCACATAAACTTGTCCGGGGGCTAAAGAGGGAAGAAGTGTGAACCAATAGCTCTGTTTTTTAATCCTGTTTATTATCTGCAATTTCCCAGGTTTGGTCAGGACTGTTGCTATAGTTCCTATCAGTCTCAGCATCAAGTTGTGAACAAAGCTGAATCATTGATGCAAAGCAGTGTTTGAGACGCATACAAATGTACACATGTTGGTAAGGGTCTACTGGTCTCCACAAACCATGTACAGTAGCTGAATGTATCCACGTATAGTTGTTGAATGTATCCAAGCATCGTTGCTGAATATATCTAACAATAACAGTGGCTGGTGACTCGGTCACTTAACCACCCTCTCGGGTCAAAGCTAAGAGAAAACAGGCAGAAACCAAGCACACAACTTACACGGCAAGACAGAGCCTAAAAGAATAAATAAAGCCACCCTACAGAAGTCAGTTATGAGCTTTGGGGGCAGAAGGTAACACTGAAATCACATCTCAAAATTCAGAAGCCGGGAGTCTCCTTAGTGACTAAGTGCTAGTGGTGCTGCTAGTGACCACGAGCTAGTGGTGCTGCTGTAGCCCCACTGGCCACTCTTCCTGTGCGAGCAAGCCCTCCACCTGAAGTTCAGCACAGCAGAGAGGACTTGGGAAACTTAGGAAGAGCTAGTCTTCAGAGCATGGGCACATACCTCCTGCCTCAGCCTGAATCTGTCCTTTGATGTAATTGGCAGAGAAAACGGGCTGCTCAATAGAGCATCCTTTCACCAAATAAAATGGCATCATGAAAGACAGCATGGGATCCTTGCCCTTCGTCACAAAGATCATCTGTAAGACAGGAAGGAACACTTGAAGAAGTTGGTTTAGATACAAAGGCTGATTATGGAGCTCTAGTTGTGGCAGTGGCCCCAAACGGGCAGTTTAAACACTGCCGTGGAGAACTGAGTGTCTAGTGTCGATCTGAGTGACGCGATTTCAGGCGCACAGCTTTTACACTGCGGGACAGACTTGATGTCACGGCTCACTCACCAGGAGCACTTTCACTCCACAGTAACACACAAAATGGAGAATTTTCTGGTTCTATTTTTTTAAGGACAGTTTTCAGAGTGATACTGACTGATACATCACATGGTATTTCTTCTCTACATGGGATATTTCCCAGCTGCCATGAGCTTTAGTTGGTGGAATACCAATACAAGGATAGATCGTCCTATTCCTCCACTCCTTCTTCTACCTAGTACTCCCAGTGACTCCTCATTACAAATCACTTCTCCTTTCACTCATGAGGTTTCTGGGCTAGAAGTCTGAGATCCCTTGAGAAAGGGGAAGCCCTGCTGCTATTACACTTACCCTATAAGGAGTAAGGTACAGCATTCCTTTCTTGGTGCCTTTGAAGGCCTCAGGCTTCCCCGTCACGTCACTGAAGGAGAGCTCCACATCTTTGCACTGTTTGAGAATGCTGCCAGAGGAAACCGGACAAGTTGGACAAATTAGAGACCTCAGCAGTAGCTCTAACACAGGCACCACCACACAGAGAGGGGCCAGCACAACAGAAACTCTGAACTGGTTCCCAAAGACTCAGTTCTACTGTGTTCTCTTTGAACATGGAGGACAATTTATGCAGAGCAAGAGACCTCACACTGGGACAAGCCCTGCTCCTCCTCCCCAAAGGATGGTTTGAAAGGATGGTTTCGCTTTCCACTTCCTCAGCATTATGACTGAAGGCATTATTCCCCCACCCTCAGGAAAAGGGCTTCCACCCTAAGGCAGGAACACCAAAAGGGCCAAATTTTTGAAACCTTCCCATGGAAATGTGGGGACCAGCTCAGAGGAAGCCACTCTTTCACCAAGAGCATTCTGACATTTAGGACCAGCCATTGCACAAACAGAAGCCCTCTAATGCTGCACCCATGGGGCAGGCTGCACTCCAGGGGAAGTCACGTCATTAACACACTGACTGCTGACCACGTTTCGCGTGACTTAAGTAAATAACTATGACAAAAATCAATGCACCAGAGAAGAGAACTGAGGCAGCCCTGGTGGCAGCAGCGAGGCTGTCATCATCAGAAGTCTATGTGAACAAACTCCTGCTGGCATCAAAGCTTCATGAGAAAATACAGATGTCTCTTAGCTTAGGGAAATGGAGATACCCAAGCTTTTTTTGTCGGAAAATGGGAAGAGTCAGCTTGGAAAAGAGTGCCACCAAGTGTGGAGTGGGGGCAGATCCTAAACCACTCAGTAAGGAAAAAAAAAAGGCAGAACAAATGAGAGAAACCTGGGAGTGAGGAGCTTGCAGCGTGTCACAGTAATAAGAGGAAAAAAAAGCCAATACATTTTCAGTTTGAGATTGAAGAAGAAGAAGAAGAAAAAAGAAACGTTTAGAACTCTAAAAAACAATAATCACCTCAGTATAAGCCTGAGGAGTCCAGACCTAAGGTTATCCTGACATATTCAGTCTGTAATCGGATCAAGCCAAGGAGTTGTATAATTATTGTGGGAAAGGAGAAATTGGTAAGGCCAAGAAATGGGAAAACAACCAAAAGCTCCATTCTCCTGTCAGGGACAGGCTGACGATGCAGCAGAGGTTCTTCCATTTCTCAGATGTAAAAGGGAGGCATTTCTCCTAACCCATGTACAAGCAATGCCTCTGTACTCTGAATATTCCCAGTATTACTTCCTCAGCATCACCCTGTAGCCAGTGTTCACGCCATGTCACTTCTTCGGGAAGAACTTCCATGGAGTCACTTTAATGTTTACTCCTGCAAAGTTACTCGGACATGCAGATAACCAAGCAGCCAAGCACGGGAGCGACTGCACTGCCGAACCAGTTTGGGCTGCGCGTGGGGTCGGGACTGTCCTGGGCCGGCCGAGCGCCTCGGGGAGCTCCGACTTCACCCGCCTGTGATTAAGCAGCACCTCGAATAAGGGCTTGAGGTCAAGCATCCAGGGATCTCCTCTAAGTCAGCCAAGACACATGTTCCAAAAAGTACAAGTAGTGAGTTATAAATTCAAAACTATTTGGAGCATGTTGCTTTGATCAGATATCAGGCTGAAAACAGCTTGCCAGGCCTTTAACACACCTTTCCTTTCCAGGATTTCTGCAGGCAAGTCCCGGATCTCGGAAGCACCTTGACACAGTTAAGGAGAGGTCAGGACTTGCCAAGCTGGTCCAGCAATCTCGGGTAGTGGCGAGCGTCAGCATTAATCAGACGGTTCAGACTTCCCAGGACAAGAAGAGCATCTGCTCTGCTCAGCTCGTCTCTTGGCAGAAACCCTCCTGCTTCTTACCCCATCTTACCACAAACAAGTGATTAAGGCTTAACCTATTGCTTAAGTGATCTCTGCCTCTCCGGGATCATTAGTTCCCCTCAAGTCGGGTGATAACACACTGGGCAGCTTTGTGGTTATTTTTAAAGCAAAGTTTGCTAATTCCTTGCTCTACTTCTGCCTGCATGTTCCAACACTGCCAGGGAGGACTTGAACAAAACAACCCCCAGGGCTTCCGCTCTGACACAGGCAGAAACCCTCCGCTCCTACTTGTGGATTCAGCGCTGTTCTCCTCTCAAAATTAAAGGAATTGCATAAGTGCCAGTTACACTACGTGCGAGGCGGGTGCACGAGGCGGACAGGGTTTGCTCGCACAGGTGGCAGGAGCAGCCTAACACAGGACACCACTGAAAACGCCACCGACGCTCCAGCGCAGGCAACTCAGAGATCTTTCCAGCTTTTCCAGTCACTCCAGAAGCAAAGTGGGGAGAGAAGCAGGAAGAGGAGATGGCAGCAGACAAACAGGGCTGCACAGAGGTCTACGAGTAGATGCAAAAACAAGCTGGGAGAACACGAGGCTCTCTAACGATTCTCCGCTACCCGAGGAACGGAACAGCAGGAAACAGGGGCAGGGGAAAGCAGCGTCCAGGCTGGCTGGCGGCTCGAGGGTCCCTAGGGGAGCGAAAGCAGCACAACGTGGGGCAGCAGGGATGGCAGCGGCCCTGGGACTGTGCTCGGGGGAGACAGCGGTGGGACAAGGTGGGACCTGAAGGTCCCGGCTCGCCTGGGGGAGGCAAGGTGGGATCAGGGACGCCCACGTCTCCATGATCACGGCACATTTTATGGATGAAGAGGGGCTGCCCCACAAGCAAGGGGCTGAGCAGCAGCCGCCCTGGGGCCCCCAGCCACCGCACTGTTCCCATCCGCCCTGCCCGCTCCGGACCCACGGCAGGGCCTCACCACTCTCCTGTGCCCCCCACCCCAGACTCCCCAGCCCCACAGCTACGGCACAGCCGTGGTCCCCAGCCCCAGGGCCACCCCACTGCAAGGCCCTTAGCACCCCTTAGCTGGGGTCCCCAGCCCTACAGCTCCCTCATAGGGCCTTCCTTCCCCCAGCGCAGGGTTCCTCTGCCCTATCAAGCCCCCTATAAGGGCCTTTCCCCCACCGCGGCAGCGCTTCCCTGCCCCATAGCTCCCCCACAGGGCCTCCCCCCACCGCGGCAGAGCTTCCCTGCCCCATAGCTCCCGCACAGGGGGTCCCTCTGGCCCCAGAGGCTCCCCCGGCCGCTCCCTCTC